ATTTGTATATGGCTGAGAAAGCTCATGCAAATTAGCATGTTTAATGAGCTTTGAAACAATTAAGAAGACTGAGCTCAGTGATCAGTGAGAAACCACATAACCAGATGTAGGAGGAATATTATGTACAATGTATTTCAATTTCAGACATATCTAATGTGTACCTAGCTACCACACTTTTAAAACAGAGAATACGGACAACGATGGAGTCCTCAGTACTCTGCTGCCTCTATAATGCATTTTGTACAGACAATTTAACTGCATTGCTCATGACCAAGAGATCTTCTTTGTGGCTGCTGCTGAGGAATAATTTCCCTCTCCCCCAAAACAGACCATTTAACTTCCTTAAACGATGGCAGCCCCTGCAGCCTGACAGAGAGAACATTGCGATTCTGTAACAGGTGCTTCCAAGTTAAATCACTGCTGCGGTGGCTGTGTCTTGGGAGCCAGTCAAGCCCTCTGCACACATTTCCTACAAACACTAAGTAAGAGCAGGTGCTCTTGTAAGGGTAATGACTTGTAGGGACCCACTGCTTTGAGAAGTTTTTTGCTAGGCTTAAAGGGAATAAAAAAACTTTCAAGCCTCAGCAGAAAAATATTCATTAGCTTGCAGAATTGAGCCCCAATAGTATTTTATTGAAAGCAGTCGGAGAAGTTGTCCCTATTATTCCCTACCAGGTAATAACTAGTTTAGGTCTTTCGAGTAAGTAAAATGCCATCTCAGGACCTGATTCTGCTCCTGTCTGGCAAATTTAATCTCAATATTTTCAGTTGGAAGGGACCTACAACGATCATCTAGTCCAGCCATATGATAATGAGAAAGATATACCACTGTCCTTGTTGGTATTTTATAAGAATTGTCTTTTTAATAGGAAAGGCTAATAAAAGAACCATTCTTCTGAGATGCTTGTAACTTTTCATTCCTACACTTTTTCCTCCCTGACCTTACTACGTCCTCATAATTCTCCACCTGCCATAATTTCTTTTCTTAAAGTCTGTTTTTGTAGTGTTGAGGAGGATATAAACGCATTCTTCCTCTGCCTCCCAGGGGAAAGAGGAAAAATGAAGAAAGTTGTGAAGTACAAAATTCCTAGAGGAAAAAAGAGTTTACTGAACTGAGATATTTTTATGTGCATTTCCTGAGACCTTATCTGATAAACATACCGTTCTTGGGACTCCAGGGACTGAACTTCAAGAGATACAGAAAATGATTGACAGTCTCCAGAATCCACGGGATCCCAGTGAAGTAGCCCCGCTGCCAGCCATTCCCAGAGAAGTGACCTTTCTACAGTTTGATGCAGCAATTAGGCATCGACTACGGTAGGAATTACAGCCTGTTAGGGATGGTACTGGCACCTTTTTTATAAAGAGGCTTTTTTTTCTTCACAAAGAAAGAAAAAAATGTAGGAAAGATGAATTTAAATTTTGTCCATGGTATCTGCTCCAAGATCATGAAATGTGCCCTGTAAGTGTAGAAATCTTCCTTTCACTAAAAGCGCCAATTTTCCTTTAACTAAAAGTGGTGGGAGTCCTTACATGCTTCATTGAGGGATCTCAACACACCACGTCTGAGTACAGCAGTCCTATTATCTGAGCATTGTATCACCTTTATGTTGTGATTCATAGTTTACTAAATCAGGGAGGCTGGTAGCTGCCACAGAGGTAGACTTATGAGTTCATGTTCTTGTTTTGCTGCAGGATCTACATTTAATTTTATATTTTCCTCTATCAAAGAATGCTTAACGAGCAGGTACAGGACTGACTTACTTATACCGAGATCTAGGTTTACCCTCCTGTAAAATGTTGTTATTTACCCCACCACGGAAATCCAACTAAGATATACTTTTCAGGACTTTTTAGAAAGTAACTGTTTTCCTTTTCTCCCGGCTCTCCTCCCATATGTTGTCTGTCAATAATGGTCACAGAGAGGTTTGAATGTACTCAACGGAATAACCTTGGCAGAACCAAAACAAGGGCAGGACATGCGAAAGTAAAAGAAATTTCAACTCTCCTCCGCTCTGTAGATGCCACGTGGTGGCACAATGCAAGACTAGATTTGTAGGTGTAGCCTGCGTGGGGCAGGCAGGCTAGGGAGTCTACCAGAAAAGAAACAACTCCTGGACTTGGTTTTGAGTAACACGCGGGACCAAGTTGAAAATGCTGCAGTTAAAGAGCTGTTCTCTAACAGCAGCCATGATGTGCTTGCATAAAATATCCTTGAAGGAACAGTGAAAGCCAAATAAATATGACCATAGCTGAGCTCAGCTTCAAAATGGGAAACTACATAAAAATGAGAACTGTTGCTGAAAAAAACATAGAAGGATTAGCTAGGGGAGTTAAATCCTTGCAGATGGCATGGAGACTCTTTGGGGACATACTGGAGGCACTCAAAAACTGCATACCACATGTGAAGAAAGACTTAAGAAAGGGTAAGAGGATGCTGGCATGGCTAAACAGCAGGATTAAACAGATTATTAAAGCAAGAAGGCATCCTTCAAAAAGCTGAATTTTCATTCAAACGAAGAAAACGGAAAGGACTATAAACTGTGACAGGATAAATGTAAAAGGATTCAAGACAGCCCAGCAAAGATTTTGAGGAACAACTTTGCTGAAGGCATCAAGACTAACAATAAATCTTGTTTTAAATATACCAGGAGCAGGAAACCTGCCAGAGAGTCCATAGGGCCAGTAGGTGATCAGGAGTGTTCAGTGAAGATAAGTCAATAGCACACATTTAAAAAAGTGATTTCTTTGTTTCTGCATTCCCTGGTAGAACTTGAGGGGGTTCCCACACCAAAACCTTTCTTTATGAGAGGTGCATAAAAGGAGCTGCTGCAAGTGGAAGTGTTGCCAGGGAAAGTTATGGGATGAGCAGACTGAAATGAAGATGAACAAGTTGCCAAGACCAAACAATGTTCAAGAATTTTGAAAGAACTCAAGGATTTTTTTTTTTAAAAGAAGCCAAAGTACTAGCTATGGTGTGTAGCTTCTTGCTTAACACTGCCTTGATACCTGAAGACTGGAAGTGGCTGATGTGTTGCCAGTCGTTAAAAAGGATTGCAAGAGTGATCTGGCTAATCACAGGCTGATAAACCTGATATCGATAGTGTTCAAATTAGCGGAAACTGTAATGAAGTGGATGCATGGACAAATATGATGTATTTGGGAAGAGTCAACACTGCTTTTGGAAAGTGCAGTCATGCCTTACAAACATGTTCTCTGAAGTTGTTAACAAACATGGATAAAGGGTTGATACAGTTTGTCTGGATTCCCTGAAAGCTTTAATAGGCTCAACAAAGGTTCCTAAGGAGTCTGAGCAGCCACTGGATATGTGAGGAGATGGTCACATTTGTAAATAATTTGTTGAGATTTAGGAAGGAGAAGCCTGTAAATGGGCAACTTCTGCAGTGGATAAGGGAGGTTACCAGTGGCTTCCCACAGGAGTTTGAGCTTTCTCCTGTGCTGTTCAGGTGCTCATAGGTGTCATTGAAAGGGGACTGAAGCTGAGGTGGTACAGTGTGTACATGATACTGTGATACCCAGGATACCAAGGGCGAGGGCTGGCTGGAGAAGGACCTTACAAAACAGAGTGACTGCAAAATAAAACAGCAGATGGAGTTCAGCGCGTCAGTAAAATGACACACCTGGGGAAAAAAACAATGCCATTGTATAAAATGACAGCCTCTGACTTGACCATTACCATGCAGTAATGAAATCTCAGAGCTATGACAGATAATTCTGTCAAAACTTCAGCTCAGTAGCAATCAAAAAAAAAAAAAAAAAGGCAAAAAGCAAATTGATTCTCTTTAGGAGAGCAAAAACAAGAACACCACTACACTGCTGCATAAATCTGTGTTGTCAAGCCCACGCAGCTCTGGTCCCCACCTGAGAAAGGACAGAGAACTCGGAAAGGTTCCCAAAGGAGCCGCACTTACGATGAAAGGCTGCTGGGTGGAACAAGTAGTAGCTGGGGGAGAGTTCTGTAAAACCATCAGTTGAAGGCAGGGGATAAACAAGGAGTGTGTGCTCATGGTCTTTTCCAGCGTAAGGTGTATCCCAGATGAACATCAGGTAGCCAGCTCTGAACAAAAAAAAAGGCGGTTGTTGCACATGGCTTGTAATTAGGCTGTGGGATTTCTTGCTGTGGGATGCGGCGGGTGGTAAAAGTTCATAGGACTCGGAGGGAGACTGCACAGGTTCGTGGAAGACAAATCTACCAAGGATTATTAAACATTTAGCAATCAACTCTGGCTGAGGAAATGCTTGAGCTACAAATTCTTGGAGGCTGTGAGAATATCTCTGGGAAATATCAGCATATGCTTGTTCTGCAGATTTTTGTAATCTTCTCATGAATCCACTTTTGATCACTGTGGGAGACAGGACTCTGAGCTGGATGGATCTTTGCTCCGACCCAGCGTGATCGCTGTTGTGCTATCCAGTGGAGTTGTGACTGTACGTATTTGTAGATTTTTCTGGAGACTCGCAAAAAGATAAAACTACCTTGTGCTTTTATTTCTATTTTTTCATGATGAAAATACTGTAGGGGCAATTGGTGAGGGAACCGTTTTCCTCGGATAAGGAATTGTGTGTTAACAGGAAGTAAGAAGGAATGCAGTAGATCAGATGCTTCATCTTTCTTGTTCCTTATTGCCAGTGCAATTAGTTTCCATTTTCTCCACACTGGAGCTTACAGTGCGACAGTAAATCACATTTAATCTCTTTTGAACTTCTCTGCCAAGTTTGATCCCAGAAGCTGTTATTTCTCCCCGTAATTCCTTTGTTAGTCCTACAACTGATACAAAGTGCGTGTCATTTTTAAAAGCGCTTGTGTGTGTTTGACAAAAACAAAAGGCCAAGATCCTTGTCTTAGAGTTGCCATTCAAAGGAGGATGTGCAGCTACAGAAAGAGTTGTAGTCTAGAGTGTTTCTTACACTGCAAGAACTGGTTGAACAGGAGCTCTTTGTTTTAAAAGCATGTGAATGAAGTCCAGGAGAATTGAATGTGACAAAGAGGCTGCAATGACATGACAAAGCCATGTCTAAGCTTGGTTGGGTAATATATTTACACAATGCATAGAGTGTAAGAAAAGGTAGCTTTATGTGTGTGATTGCACAGCACAATGCAATCCAACCACGAGGAGCCAGCTGGGTCCCAGAAGGGCTATACACCTGTGTGGGAATAGCACTGCTGGTTTAGCTGGGCTCTGGTGTCACCTGCATTGCTGTCTGAGACCAGGTGAATTTGCCAGGTGAGACCAGGTCTCATGAAAATCTGTGGGGAGTGTTGTTGCTAAACCTAGCTCCGGACTCCAAGTATCTGATAATTTAGGTTCTAAAGCTTCACAAGCACTTTCGAAAACTTTGAAAAGTTTTAGCTCTCCTACTTTGTATAGGAAATTATCCTAGTATCAGGAACAGGAGGCCATAGAGCTCCTGAATTATTATCCCCACTCTATTAGCTACCCGAGCATCCCTCTCCATTAGCATAGACGTATGTAAATGTCCCCAGTCAGAGGCACTTTCACACATGCATCTACATCATTAACATTTTTGCCTATTTGTTTTAATCATCGTATCTGCTGCTATCCCTATCACTCGCTACCATGTTGGGTTCTAATGAGGAGCAGGTAATTTTATTATCTTACTTCTTTTTAATACAAACATTTTGGTTCCTTTTCAGAGAGACATTTTTGTCCTCGGGGAATGTTTCAGCCTACCAGAGTGTTACAGACAGGATATACCATGTGCTGCCTCCATTGAGTGACTCTGCGATTCAGAGGGCATTTGCTTCACATCTAAAGCTCCCACAGCTTCTGGATCCTCGAAGCTGCAGGGTGAGTAAAGCATACCCTCAGAGGCACTCTTCCTCCGTTTGCACTGAGCTCCTTGGAGAACAAAGCCCTCTGCGGTTCTTGCTGGGGTGCTTACTCCTTCCCTACCATGGTGCAAAGAACCTAACTGCTAATAGCTAATTAAAAAAATTCCCATGACTACAGCTTATTACCTTGATTCACCATTAGGAATTCTAGAAAATGTTCTCTACAGAAGTGAATAATAAAAATTTGAGATGGAATGTAACCACACTGATGTCATCAAAATGGAATTAGTCTGCATGACAGATGTTGGTGATTCTACTAACTTTCAGTTTTGGGTACTTAGCCTTCTGAGCTCTCTCATCACCTGGCAGCAGTTTTGATTGCCCAACATGTCTGCCATGGTTGTGTGCAACATATTTAGGTCTAGTGGTTTCTTAGCTATAGCATCACACAGAGTTACATAAAGCCAAATTAGATACCTATGTGCTAAAGAGGCACCTTGAATGACACCAGCAAAAAAAACCTGATGTCATGTTAGGGAAAGTAAAGATGAGTCTTGCTGGTGATATTACCATGTTCCAAGGTAATAGGCAGTTTTAAATAATCATTCTAACTTCATGTTTCCTCATTTTCATCCCATCCTGCTAATTATCCAATATCAGATACTATTGTTTCACCTTTAATAATGCTTTTCCCAAACAATGAGTTATAGGAATACAATTTTCTGCCACCCTGCCTTGATTTAGGTGACAATGACACAATAGGACTCCTTAGCATAATGGAGAAACAGAATTTGTAGTGGCATGCAAAATCTGGACGTCTTTGATGAATAAGGTGTCCTGATGCCTCTGAGATAGAACCAGCAATAAATGATTGACAGTAGGTAGTTAAGGACCTGGGAGCTGTTCTGTGGAGGCAGAAGTAGCACAGCATCTTGGTAGGAAATGTATTCTGGAATCAATCTTACTGCTTTTTTCCCAAGGAGTGATAATAGATGCTTCTCTCTTTTCCAGTACATGCCTACTTTCAAAGTCAGAGCAGAGTGTATCACATATCAAATAGCAGCTTGGCCTCTGAGTTGCCTTTTCCTGATCAAATTAGATGGGACTCTCATAACTAATTGAATGTTGTTCTTATTTATAAACAGTCATCTCTATTCTTCTAGACACTCATGCATTTTCCTTGGAGGACATTCCTAATGGATGGAGGATTGTTTCCAGTCACTATCAACAACACAATTAATATAAATTACAACATGCAGGTACAGTGAGACAGCAGCCTTGTGCTTATGTCCAAAGACATAAAGACAAGATGAATCTCTGATGCAGGAGGAAAACCAACTCATACTATCTCATTTCCTGTCTTTGTTTTTTAACGAACAGAAATGAACAAAAAACATCTCCCCCTTTTCTGTCCAAAAGCCCATTTTACCATTTACTTCACATTTGATCTTTCTTCAAGCAGAGCAGAGCAGAGCATTTTTATTGATAATGAATCTATACTTATCATTTTCCTAGTGTGCTAGAACTAGAGAATCAAATAATTTTTATGCACGGGCACATGTGTTTTAGGACCATGGTGCTATAAGATTGAAATCCATTTGTGTTTATAACACAAAACCTCCTGTGCTGACAGTTATCTGAGATTTGCTATTACTTGTTAAGCTCTGAGCAGCAGAGACTCTCCCTTCCTCTCCAGCTGTGCCTGTGCAGCCTGAGTGATGCAGACCGAAGAGTTGCTCACGGGGAGCTGGTGGCAATGCAGTTTCTAATGGAGGATGTACAGCAGAACACCTACGGCTGTGCTGTGGAAGATCACGCTGGCTGTCAAGCCTCGTTAGCTAAGAGCAAGCAGGTACTTCTGACAACTCAGTTTGTTTGGGACTGTACAGCTTCTATGTAGGATGCCCATTAGTTTTTGCAACCAAATCCCTGTGAACATAAGCGACCTAGACCTGAGGTATGCCGTAATAACCTCACCTACTCCTGGCTGTCTGGTAAGAAGCAAAGGGAACAATGTTGTCTCCTGAGTGCTGTTGAGAGAAGCCCTAGTGACAGATGCCCCTTGAGGGCCTGCTGGTATCACCAGACTTCTGGAGAAAAGGGAGACTGTCCTGACTTCTCCCCACACACCACCGAAGGTCCAGCTCGTTCTTTATCAAGAGCTACTCAGTGCAAAGGGGAAAGGAACAGCCCGGCCACCATCTAAAACCAACTCTTGTCGAGGAGAGGCAAGGTACCTCCAGGCTGTACTTCCCTGAGTACTTGCATTGTGGATATGTATATGAGGAATGGTTGCTGGGGCACCTGAAGCCTGCCAGAAACTACACAAAGATTTTCTTCAGGGAATGGGGAGGCATTCAAACTGTTTGTGATGGAAAACAGATACGCTGCTTGATTTGCAAGGTAAAATGGATGGAAAGGACAAATGTAGTTATTTTAAGGTCTTGCTTCCTTCAAGATCTGAGCTAAGAGTTTGATTTCTGTAATAGTACTTTTAGTTAGAGACCAAGCCGAGTGTGTTGCTGTTGAAGCGATTCGCTTGAGGAAAGCAGCAATAAGGCAAAGGGTTTAACTTCTGTGCAACTTTATCCCCACCTCTGCTGTGTGTGAATACTCACTGCAACCAAAAAGTAGCCTGGGTTTTCCCTGTACCATGCTCTGAAGGACATTGTTGCAAGTTCTGATTGCACAATAGCCTGTCACATGTCTTGTCCCACTGTATATTGTATGAGATGCTATTAAGCAAAGAAAAGCACATGAAAAGCTTAAAAGCTTGTCATAGCTTTTTGAAGCAAAACATTTCCTTGTGACTTCCAGCAAAATTTGGCAGAAACGGTTGACTCAAGTGCTAACTGGTTGCAGAACAGCAAAAATACGTGCAAACTTTTGCTGAGGCATCATGGTCCGGCCATATCACATAACTTGCTGAAATCTTTTCTGATACTGGAAGCAACTAGAAATATTAAAGGCAAAATGGGGCTGGCTGAAGCTGAGGACTGAGGATATCAATACAGTTCTTCTCTACAAAGAGTTTTGTGAGCAACATGGGCAAGTTGCCTTGGATGCAAGAATATTCCAGAGTGACGGAAAAGATGAAAAATGAGAAAAGTCTCTGTCTTCTCCATCCATTTTCCTCCTGTCCCCCTCTTTCACTTGCCTTTTTTTTTTTTATTTCTGCCTTTTTTTATTTTTGTTTATAGTTAACCTAGTACTTTCGCTTTTCTCTAAAGGCTTGAGAGCTACCTTTTGTTTCTTTGTTTCAGTACGGTTGTTTTTTCCCCTCTTTCAACGTCTATTCAGACTGTTTGCTGATGATGTTTTCCAAGTGCATTCTTCTCAGTCGTGTGACCCGCCTCTGTATTTCAGGCTCCATAAACAATGTTAAATACAGTACTTGAATAAGTGGAAATTTTGGAAGCCTGTTAGATGAATTGTAGCAGAATTCTTCCTAACCCTCCTACTTGGCTCAACTTTGAGCTGTCAAGAATAGAAAATTGGAAGATTTCCATCAGAGAGGCCCTTCTGAAAGCAGAAAATGGAACATCGCTTTTCAAAAAGCCTTGTCCCCGGAAACCACAAGAAAGGAAGTGAAAGAGCAAGATGACACAGCGAGGGTGAAATCCGTGCACAAAGGCACTGGAAAACACCATTGTCATGCAACGGAGCATGGAGGAAGCAATGCTCTGTGGGCCTGTCCCTACAAGGCCAAGGCATTTTAGATTGACAAGTCTGAATCTGTCACAGAAAATTTGTGTGTGCGTAAAGAGCTGGTACCAGATTTGCTCCATTCTGGTTTCCATGTGTCTGTAACCCAGTGTTACCTCCCATGCATTACCACTGGATCGGAGAGGGCACAGTCCTAAGCTGGGGGCCCATGGTCTTTGCCTCTAATTAATTTATAAACTCTGCCGAGGGAGCAGCTCTGGGGCAGAGCAGGACTGGGTTGCAGGAGGGCTGGGAGTCAGGGGCATGAGCTCTCCGTGCAGGGTGAGCAACAGCTTGTGCTTCCACCATGGGGCTGGGCAGCTGCGGGAGGGCCCCGGCTTCAGCATCTCCCGGCCCCTCCACACCCAGAGCTTTCTTGTGGTGATGCCCGAGCTCGGGCTTAGCAGTTATTGCCTCCCAGGAGGAGAGGTGAGCTCCCTGCCCCTGGCTTTGCTTACACTGACCTTTGAGCAGGAGGAGACTCTGTAGTGGCACCTGCAACAGCTCTTTCGTAGCAGGCAATCAGCCAAATGTACTGTATCCAAAAAACCCACTGTGTTTCCCTCCTCCACGTCCCCACCCATCCCCTTCCCCTCCCTACTTCCCTCTCTGAGCTCCAGTGCTAACCTTTGTGTCATGCCATCAAGGGTTTAAAAGGCAACGTGGTTAAAGCAATAAAATATAACGAGGTGTATAAGCCTTGCTAATGGCTCCTCTGCTTCTAAGAGCAAAGTGCATGTCTGCCTTGGCACTTAGCAGTCAGAAGCACTTCGCAAAGCCATGATCAGATAGATCATGGAGAGCATGATAGATAGGATAGATAGGATAGATAGGATAGATAGGATAGATAGATAGGATAGATAGGAGAGCAGGGGGACGAGGTGGAGGGAGTTTCTTGGTCTATTTGAACAGTGGTGATAGGCAAGTTCTTACCAGTGACCAGATTTCCCTGCTTTATGTGGCTGACCCCTTGTTCTTTCCCCTCGGTTTTGGTTTTGTATTATTATAAACTTGGAGAAATTACTGAACTATGTAATAAGGCAGGACAGTGAAGAAAAGACTGTCCTGCCCGGCTTGTAGGTCAAGTGGGGCTAATGCAGCGAGGTGAGACTTAATCATATTCTGCATGGGTTAAGAACAGGGGCAGGGGAAGAAAAAAGAAAGTTAATGTCCAAGGTCAGTAAATGCAAACACCGTAATTTCGAGACAGAATATGTGAAATACCCGTGTCTTGGTGATTCTAGTGCAGATATCCTGTACCCGGCCATGAAAGCCATAGTCAGACAAACAGGCACAGAGGAGGAGTTTGGAGAGCCCGTTACAAGCACTCAGCATGTACTTCCCCCCAGAGGAGCATCGAAAATCGAAATGAAATTGTGCCAGGTAAGGGGAGGGTTATCAGTGGGGTGTTACGGGGGACCACACAGCGTCATGTTTTCCTGCAATTTCTGATAAGTGAAGTCCAGCGGGGTCCGTGGGGGCTGTCGCGGGGGGAAGTTTGGCAGATGTGGGTGGCCCAGGAGGATCTGCAATGGCACCTCTGCTGTGTGGAGCCAGGTCTGGGTCCTGGGACAGCTCAAAGCAACGGGGCCTCTGCCTCTACCCAGAGTATTTGTGCACAGCACTAAGCATACAGTCATCCCCAAATGTTATTAACCTTGATACTGTATCTGAAAGTACTGTATTTTAGAGAAGAATGGAAAGAGAATTGCTTTGGTTTAGTTTGCTAGTTTTTGCTACTTGGCAAGTTGCTTTATAAGCAGTATAGAGATTTAGTAAGAGCTAAGTATTAAACTTGATTCTAGCTTCAAAAGCTTCTGGAAAGCCTAGAAATCCACATGATCCATGATGTGCAGAAGAAAATTAACCAGGAGGTGACTCTAGTGACATCTGAAAGAGCCAGACAAGAGAGCAGTCTCCCCACTGATAAGGAGAATTAAAATAATTAAAATAATTAAAATCCTGGGAAATATAGGAGCCCTGGTCTTGAGTGGGAAAAGTAGCCTTGATGCATAAAGGCAGCAAAGAGTTGTCCTGCATGTGAACAGGAGAGCACATCTGCTCTCCGCTCCCCACTTCCCTGAGTGCCCATTTGGAGGCCAGGGACCAGCTGAATCGCAGGGAAGGTATCACTGAAGAAAAACGGCTTACCCTCAGGAAACTCTCTTATGTTTTGGAGAGCCCATTGTGGGAAATTCCAGAAATGCATCTAGCAGGAAGCCATGAAGAATTGTGTATCGAGACACCATACATCTTTCTGCATGGACCTGTTTATTCTGTCTGTTTAACACATTCAAATTCCTAAATCTAAGAGTTCACTTTCTCTTTATAAAGTGAATGTTTAGCCATAATCATTGCAAAGACAATTGTGCAAACAAGGCTGAACACTAATTATTCTGGAGTTTGCAGGCAGCCTGAAACAGACTGATAGGAAATTACTTCTCTACTCCTCTGTGTTGGAGTGTTAATATTTTAGGCTTAGCAGTGTGATTTAAATGTCAGAGTTTTTAGTATGTTAGGTGTTTACTTGGTACAATTACTGCATGGGTGTGGGCAATTTGGGTATTCACAGGCACAAATAGTAAAATGAAGAACAAGTGATAATAAAAGGGAAGAAAAATGTGCCCTACTGCCACTGGTTGTGGTTGCAGGCAGCAACAATTAGTGCACAGAAATGTTCCATTTCACACAAAAGCCATATTCTTTACTCAGTATTTACAGAAAACTCCAATATACAATTGTGGGCCAGGTCATTATTGACAGAACTGGTCCATAATGAAATTGCATTTTGGCTTTGATACCAGAACCAATTTGATATTGCTGCTCAACACAGGCTTTGCAATCTGTTTGCAATGACATTTACTTTTTGTTGTAAACATTTTAGGAAAGCTGAGAAACCCTAAGCTATATATAAAGTGTATATACCCAGTGTCAAATCCCAGGGATTACTGAAGGATGAATATTTTGTGACAGTGATACCCACTGATGTGTGATTTTATTCTGTTTTGGTTTTTTTCCTCCCTCTGCTCCTGCAGAGCTCTGGAAACACAGGGTAATGCAAGAAAATTTCTCAGTTGTACAACCACAGATAGTTGAAACATTTGTTCAAAGGCTGATGGAAAGCTACCAAGAATCAGATACAGAGGTACATATTCTGCATTTCTATCTAAGCAACAGCTAAATCATGTTTACAGCTGTATTTATTAAAGCTCTTGTCAATCAGTGACCTAAAAGAGAAACACATTTCTTAAGCTTATGAGCTTAGAATTCAGATTATGTTGGTTTGTAATAGCAGCGTTGGCAGCAAACTTGTATCTTGCCCTACTGCCTTCTGACAGGCTTATTTCAGCTTTCAGGACTGTAATAATGTGAAGATGAGTTAGGGCTGGAGGTTTATATGCAACTGCAATGCAGGATTGCAGGACTTTATTCATGGATTCAGTACTGGGAACTCTTCTTCCTGAGTCATTGCTAAACCAGGGGGCCAGCACGACGTTAGGAAGCAGTTTTAGGGTTTTTTTTCAGTGAAATTTAAAGAAAATATTTATGAAAATATGACCACTTCTGGTTAAAAAACACAAAACTTTTTTTTTGAGAGAAGGGATATTGGGGTCCAACTGCAATCCAGGCAGTTTCTGAGCTGGTGATTTAATTTCTCTACTGAAAATTCTCTTTTAGCTTCAGATGGGAAAAAAATACATTATATAGCTGCAGCTAGAACCAGTCAAAAAACTGACAAATCTGTTTTCCATTAGTTCAGTGAAATTGTAGATTGGGCAAAAACATTTGCATTGAATAATTTCATTTTTGCTTCATTTTGATATCACAGAAGCATTTTATTTACAATAAGGTGACCATGTTTCATTTTGATGTATGCTGTATATAGCAACTCCTGTGACTCAGGCCACCTGCAATGTTTCTTATTTTGTTTTCCTAGGTTACTTTTAAAAAAAGCCATTTACAACAGTGTCTGACCATACTGGGCTGTGACATCATGGCCAGAGAGCGCAGCAACTTTGAGACCTACTCCATGTTTTATGAAAATATTCACCACCAGCAGCATTGTTTACTTTACCAAAAAGAACAAGTATGCTCAGAGTGTTGATTCTACTCTTCGAGAACAGGGGAAGGTGGTTTCTCTGGGTGGGAGGCAGTTGCTAAGTAAAAAACAAAGTCAAGCTGTCAGGCTGGGAAGTTGTTGAAGTGGAGCTGGGCTACACAAGCACAGTCACCGTGCATCTTTGTGCTTTGCTTCAGGAGCTGCATGCAGTGGAAGAAGGTGGCAACCAAAGCAATATGGCTCTGACGCAGGTCGGTGATGGTGATCTATCGATTGGTAGTACTTAGTGGTCTCACTTGAGACAGAGTCCCTCTGTGCAGACAGATGGGGACAGTCTTTGAGAAGAAAGGTAGGGGGGCTCTGGGGCTGCTATTTCTGTGCTCAATGCCAGAAGTCATGCTAGAAGGACTTGTAAAACAAAGATAACCTGAAGGGAAAGGTAGTGGCCTGCTGTTCTGTGGTTCATGTTCACAATGGATGATATACTGGTAACCTCCTAATTTAAACTTCTACTGACAGGTCTTTTCCTTCACAAGGCATTTTCCCAGAGCAATTCAATCCTGTGCGTTGACTGAGACAGAAAATAGAAGTGGGTCAGGCACGAAGGCCGTACTGCAGTGTAGGTACCAGGTATGCTACATCATGGCTGCATAACCAACTCCCCTTATGTTCTGAGTACTTTGCAGCTTCAGCTGTGTTTTTCAGGATAGCTGGTATGTGTGGGTGGAATTTTTTAAAGAAGTAAACCCAGCCAATAAATCAGAAATGCTATCTTGTGGAATCATGTGATATCCATGTAATCTATTAGCTGACTTGGAGGCTTGGCTCTGTCAACACAAACTCCACTGCTAGAGGTATGTCAGCTTCTACAGAAACCTACGCTAGGGAGAAGACTGCTTGGGTTTCAGGGATGTTTGCACAGCAGTGTTAGAACACCTGCGTTTTGGATTTCATTCCTGGGCTCCTTTTCTCATCTGTCCTCATCACTGACTACAAGATTTCAGTTCTTCTCTGGGCTTCTTATCAGTTTCTTGCCCCACTTTCTCATGTTTTTTCCAGTTTTTTGCCCCTATATCCTTTTCTGTACAGTGTCTTGTCAGCAACCTCCCTTCTTCTCTGATTTCATTGTCCTGTCCATATGTTTGGGAAGGCTGGAGTGAGAGAGAAAATGAGAAAATGAAAATGTGAGGTTTCAGCTGGGTGGAAAGATACAGGAGGAGTCAGTAGGACTTTCCTGGAGCCTGTGGGCAGTGGAGTCTCTCCCCCCCTCCACTTTGCTAGCCCATCACCACCAAATCCCTGTCTCATCTGTGTTGTACTCGAAGTGGCCCAGGGTGGCCAGCTGCCTACTGTCTCTGGGCTCTGCTTCAACCTCAAAAGAGACTTTTGCTCCCGGTTCCGCTTCTCACTAGCCTAAAGCAATTAACAGAGGCTGTTGCAAGTCTGAAGAGCAAGCTCAGTTGCTCAGTGGAGGTGTTAGAAACCATGAGAAAGGTGCTGGCATGAAGGTTCAGCCAAAATGGGATGGCATTGGGATAGTTTTAAAACTAAAAAGTCCCTAAGGAACATACATGAACCATGTAGGTTGTTTTTTTTTTCTCCAACAAAGTCTTAGGATTTGACCAACTTTTTGCTGATTTTACAAAAGAGACACCCAAAACAGAGGAAAACTAGTGCTACTCTGAATTAATATCACCAGAATTTTTCAGCAGAGCTAAAATACATGTATTTTTCCCCAACATTCATTTTCAGAAGTCTCTCAGTAATGTTTGCTGTAAGACAAAAAAATTGACACAGAAAATTTCAGCGAGAATCCAGTGACATTATTAGCATTTACTATTTAGATCTGGCATGCGGAGGTGCCAGGCAGCCTTGAAAGCAGATTGTGCTGTTGGCTGTGCCTACGGTCTGCAGTTGTGCCTATTTCTTATCTGAGTAACGTAATATGCTAAGAATGATTTTTAGCTTTCCTCCATTGTGTTCATTTGGTTGCAAATGCTGTTTGGCAGTATGAAAATGACCAAACATTTATACCTAGCAATGACCTACCTATGTGAAATTTAAATTCTGCCATTTAAATCTGTTTAAGTTCTATTTATGCTAACCTACGTGCCCTTTCTGAGGGTATTTTATTGTGAAATATCAATGGAACACATAATTGTTTTTATCATATATTAAATGGTCTGTATGTACAAGCTTATCAGCAGACAGCATATTTGCTTTGATAAATGCATTACCTCACAGCTTACTGGACGAAGCCTGGTCACAGTTCTTCTGACTTTCTCTCTTGGAGGCAGGGGAGATTATGCTATGGGAGGCCAGGCTCACCGACATAGCAGAGCCATGCACAGGCTCTTCTCCTAAAATCAGATTTCCTAATCCTGCTCCCCAATCTTTCCGCTCCTCTGTCCTCTGCACACATTTCCTTTTGTCAGTTCTCATACCTATTAGTGAGGTGATCTTTCTTTCCTGATGACCAGAAACAGACATTTTAAGGTTATGTATGAAACTTATGCATTTGCTCCCTTCAAATATTGGTTGTGAACTGCCACAATTTTTCCTACTGTTTCTAAAACTAACAAAGATGTACAAAATGGATTATTCCATACCACCAATGGATTATTTTCATCAGGCCACTCAGTTAGGAAGATATTCTTGCTCTACTTAATTAGGTATCAGGCACCATATTCAGAGCCCTAGATTGTTTACTCTTAGGCTATGGTGTTCGCTCATCCCTAGCTTTGCTCATTAATTTTCTCTGCTGTGATAGATTGTGGGGCTGTGCCATGGGATGATTATGGAAATAACTGCTCTCAGAACCCAGCTCGCTGGCTTAGAGGAAGAAAATCTTGGTCTCAAAGAGAAGATTAGAAAAGAAGTATGGGATGAATATGAATCACTAGTGCGGAACTTATTTGTGACTTGTGTCCATCTAAAAGTAGGTACAGAATAAGAGGGGGTACTCGATCGGTCTTTTTTGTGCTGCTGTATAATTTGCCAACAAGTGTAGCACTCAAAGGAATAAATTGCTGCAGTGTGCCAGGTGGATGAACGGGTGAATCATTTATCTCCTCCTGCTAGAATCATCTTGTAAAAACGTCTGGTAGAAGAATAGTGTACCTTTTCCAAGAGAGGAGGCGTATTCTCGATGGAACAGGTACCACATTAGAGAGAGTGATGGAAGCTCTTTTTAGTTACAGTGGAGGGAACTTTTTTGATATAATACTTCAGTTTGTAATAATTTGCATTATTTTTCTTGGAAACTTTATGTCCACTGCGTAATTGTATTGCTCACTCTAACAACGCCACTGTTTTCAAGTAGTCCACTGATTTCTTTGGGGTGACATACGTCATTACTTACAAAAATAAGATATCCCAGTCTAGCCTGTAAAAACTGAACTGATTGTGACTATATGTATTATAGAGCAACTACCTGCATCAGATCCCCAGGGTTTTGATTGATGGTCCACATGCCCATTAATGTCCGTGGCCAGGGCAACAGTAATTTGAGGAATATTGTGATTTCTTTTGCAATCCTGAGGGCGAGTCCAGTTTTCACCAGAAAGCCTACTTTTTCACCCTGGTGCTGCTACTTCCATTAAATACATACATCCCAGGATTGCCAATAGGTTGCCGGCAAATGATACAATTGAAATTCCACTTCTTGTAGTGTCTGGATGGAAGAATAATATTGCTCTGTCTTCCTGATACATTGATTCTAGGAAAATAATTATGAAGAAAGGCCATCTGGTTGTAGTTGAGAGACTTCTGAAATCTTCTGAACATTGCTTTCCCACATGGGCACACTTCATCTCTTATGGGTGCTGTTTGTTATTGCAGGGAAAGTTGGATGTCTATCGCCTTAGCATTGAGCAACGAGTGTTTGAAATCATCAGTGAAGTGAGAAGAGAAGGAGTTGACAATATGATTGATCTGAAGAAAAGGTTTGGCTCCACTAAAAATAATTGGTGACTTCAAAGAACATTTGTCTAAAGTAAGGAAATACATATGTGTGTCAGTAAACGAACTCAAGGATAATATCTTGGCTAAGCTTGCTGAAGATGGCTTAAGTTACTGCATTCTACCTGGGACACTGGTTGGATGAAGAGCATGGAGGTGGTCCATTACTAGACTCTGTTAATGGCTACTCATTAGTCAGGCTGTCATGAATCAATCATCTTTGACTGTGTGTTTATGCTCCAAGTACAGAAATTTTCGGCCAAACCCAGCCCTGAGACCCTGAATAACTGCATGTATTTGATTTGAATTTGGTCCTAAACTTAGGAATTCTGCTTTCAGTCTGTTCTGAGTGAAATTAACACCATGCTTTCTACACAGGTTAACATCATTAACATCCCTGGACATTAGGAAAAATTTCTTTACTGAAAATTTCTTTACTGAAAGAGTGGTCAGGCCTTGGAACAGGCTGCCCAGGGAAGTGGTGGAGTCACCATCCCTGGAAGTATTTAAAAGACGTGTAGATGAGGCGCTTAGGGACATGGTTTAGTGCGCATGGTGGTGTTGGGTTGACGGTTGGACTCGATGATCTTAGAGGTCTTTTCCAACCTTAATGATTCTACGATTCTATGATTCTATGATCAGAGATGTTGAACTTGGATCTGAAGAAGTATAAATGTGAACTCACATTCAACCACGTCAGCATTATCATGTGTTGTCTTGTCCCTTTTTTGGGTGGGGGAAAGAGAATGTGATGTTTCAGTGGCTGATAAATGTGTTGATGGGAGTTTTATCTTCTTGCTATGCAAGCTGGTCACATGAAAGAATGGGGACAGAATCCTTTTTTCCACTTGGGGTTACTTAGAATCAAAAATACATTCAGCTTTATGTTTTGAAAAAGTGCCCCCAAAACTGATGTTCTGGGAGTTATAAACTAAAGCCTGGAAAGTCCTTTCCAGGCTACAACTTCCAAATCAATCCCTTTTCTAGTCAAACATATTCCTCCTCAGCAAAGTTCAATTTGTACTAAAATTATGGTAGTCAGTCAGTGAATACAAATGAGATCAAATGGATAATGGCTAAATACTTCTGTCTAAAGCAAACACTCCTGCAGAGCTCTCAAGCAGAGAAGCTTGCGAAGCAGGATATAACTGTAATGCCAACAGAGTGAGAAGGGCTTTCAACACTCCCAATGAACCTGGGGGATAGGGACACCCAGAAGTAAATGAGGAACCAGTGGTAATGGAGGAGGCCCGTGTGTGAGAAGGCTGCAGGGAGACTTCCACATCCCTGCTTGGAAAGGACAGCGTGCAGAGGCAGTGAACAAGGAAAGTGGGGAGCTCATGTGCAGTCAAAGGGCTGTGGTTGGAGCAGAGTCATGGGAACTTGGTGGGCTGGTGCACACCATGGTCATGGGTGTTTAAGAAGGATCAGCAGGGAAGAAGAGGAGCGAGAATTGCACTTTGTGTAAGGAGTTCATTCCCTGCACAGAGCTCTTGTATGAATGTGGAGATGTACTACTGAAAGCCTATGAGTCAAGGTCAGAGGAGGGAGGAATGTTAGTGATGATTAATCACTGCGGTGGGGAATCTGGTCAAGAGAATAAATTGGATGGGCCTGTCTATAGAGGGCTAAGAAAAGTGTTTTTGATTTGAGGCATTGGTGTTCATGGAGGTTTTATCCATCTGGAAATCTACTGGAAGCATTGTGAAAGCCTAGGCAGTTCCTAGACAGCATTAGTGATAATATCATAAAAGCAAATGCTAGAGGAGCCAACCACAGTAAATCCCTACTTCTGCTGCTCACAAACAGGGAAAAACTGGTGGTGAGTGTCATCTGAGGCTGCAGTGACTATGAAATGATTTCAGGATCAGGAGAAAGGTTGCAGAGCTAGAACTTGGGACTTTAGGAGAGCAGACCGTGACTTATTTAGGGAATTGGTAGGCAGAATCCCTGGGAAACTGCCAAGAGGGGAAAAGTGCCGTGGAAAGTTGGTTGATTTTTAAAGAAAACTTAAAGAGATTTCAAAACCAACTACCCTGTTACGCAAGAAGACCAGGGAGTTTAGCAGAAACTTGGCCTTGCTTGCCTTAGCAAGGAGCTTCTTAAAGGACTAAAATACAAAAAGAAAGATTGCAACATGGACAGGCAGAGTATAGGAGTTCAGACCCCTAGTGATGACATTAGGAAGGCCAAAGCCCAGCTGCAGATAAAACTAATACAGGATGCAAAGGGTAGGAAAGTGAGTTGACACTGAATGGTAGAGCTGTGCAGAGACACCTCTGCCAGGAGGGTCAGAACCTCCCCTTGTTTCTATGATTTTTGCATAATTAAACTGCTTTCCTCTGCCTTAAGAACAGCTTTCAGGAGGAAGTCTGCTACTTTGAACAAAGAAGAAGAAAAGCTGATGACTATACTTTTCATGAATCCACTAATTTCGTTCTTATTAAGGACATTGTAATTAGGGTGAACCAGGTTACTGAATACAGTATGAGCCAGAATCCCCATTTGGCATAATATTTTTTATCACCATTAACAGTGCTTCATTTTGGAGGGGTGTACCTGCTTGCTGTTTTGGATTAAATTTCTTCCATTTTTTTCCCCAGTTTCTGGGCAATGTTCACATTTCCTGTTTCCCTGGAGGCACAGTAATAGAAATTTATTGCCAAAGGCTACACTGTTTCAAACTGCAAAGTTTGAGCATTTGAAAATTAAAATGAAATACAAATAGTTGCATGCTTTTACAATTGTATTTACTTCCAAACCACACGTTTCTTCCCAGGGAAAGTAATCTTTGTGGGTCTACACTTACCGACGTCTTCTTTAGCAGGAACAGCTGCAGCTCTTGCCGGATGAGAATATCAGGCTAAGAAAGCTGGTTTGTAAGCTAAAGGCTCTGGACTGTTGGGAGCAAACCACTCAGAAGGCACAGCTCTCTGCAAAGCTTAGAGATGCTGAGAAGGTGATGTTTCCCTACCATTTCATCTATTATTAGTGTCTAATTTTCTGCAAAACTAATGGTCAGATTGGGCAGGCTCACTGTTACTCGGTGAGTCTATAGAATCTCATGGTAACTTTAGGTAAAAATTCTAAACATTTTTCTCCTCTGTATTATGGCTATAAGGGTGGTCTTCGAATGTGAAGAGCCTGAAACAAATCCCTGATGCCTGCTTGAAGCAAGAGTCTAGGAAGTATGAGTAGCCTACAGTATTCCTAATTCTGTTGTTGAGTCAGAAGACTAATTATGACATTGTATCAAAATCAACTGTTTCATAACTGACCAAAACATACGAAAAAGAAGACAGGCAGAGACGAAGTGAAAATGAACTAGACTGTTGGCTTGGGAGGTGGCTGAGGTGTTTTTTTTTAATTAGTATCTGCTTAAACAAAGCAGAACACAGCATGAGGTTTATAAATTTAATTACAGAAATACAAGACGAAGCACAAAAATGACTAAATTAAACTAAAGTGAAGATGGATGGAAAGAAAAGTGCCTCACTGCTTTAAATGAGGCTGATTAAAATGGAACAAACAGGTTATTGATTGTTATATAGGTTAATTAGCTGTACATGTCAAGCAAAGGAAAGGCAGAATGGATCATATTTGTTAACTTAAAAAGAGTGAAAACAAAATGGGTTTTGTGTGCTTGCTAATTTTAAGCCCAAATAAAACTGGATGTGCATACACTTAGTTCAGTTATATCAGGGAGATGCTAAATAATTAGAATATTTTATTAAACAGATCGGTCAAAGATGAATTGAATTATTGCAAATTTGTGGATTTAAATAAGAAATAAGAGCTATCTTCACAGGATTTAAAAGAAAAGTCTGAAACTGAAAAAATAAATGGGAAAATTTGGCTTTTTTAAATTAGAAACTAGCTCATCTTGCTCAGACAGAGCTTTCTTGTGTCTGACTTTGGAATGGTCCAAAGATCTAAGAACTTGTATTTCACTGTCCTCCACTCCAAGTGCAGAGGATCATGGACCTTGCTTTTTCCAGTTTAAATGGCTGGGAAAGGAGAGAGGGCTGCTAAATCTGTGCCTGACATAGTAACATGTATATACATATTTATGTTTGTGTTTAAAAGAAACAAAAAGACCCTGCCCAGAAGCAAAACAAGCTTAATCACACACATTTTTACTTTAGAGATAATGAAGGAATAAACAGATTAGTAGATGGACAGGTCTTTCTAATGCGTAAGAAAGATCAAGTTTTGCGTTGTTCTGAGCTTGTTTGCACACAAGAACTTGAATTGTTGACATGTGAATATAATTAAAGATGTGCAGCTGTACCCATACAAAAGATTAGTTTTTCCTTTGGAGGACCCCTTTTGTGCATCCTGTTCCCCATTTCGCCTTTAAAAAAGGTCCAGCCTTTATTAGAAAATAGGAACAATTCAATTTCACTTTGCTAAAAATCTCTGAGAGATTTACCTTTCAAGAAACGCACTGCTATATAAAAGAGAGAAAATCGTGCTCCCATCGTTGTTTGTTATGTACTTTCTGTCTACAGGAAGCTCTTCAAAACAAAAAAGAGTGTCCGAATGCTAAGATGATGGCAGAACAAGAGGTGACTTCGTTTCAGGGTGAGCTCATGTCTGTAAGGAAAGCTCTTGCAAAATCTCAGGCAGACAATGACAAGCTGAAGAAACAGCTACATAAACAGGTATCTGAATTCAACAGGTCTTGATTCATCAGTGCAACAAGCTGAATTCTCCTCTCCATCTCGCTTTAATGAGGATTTTGCCTACTGTTATTCTAGGAGAGAAATGGATTCAAAACTAACTGCATAATACAGTTACCGAAGCTGGATGTGTATTTTATGGCATTGAAACAATGTGTTCATCTGAGTATTTTCACCATTGCAGGCAGAGAGAACTAGGGAAAAAACTGTAGCATCCTGGATAAAGTTTGAGTCACGTACCAAAATGACAGCTACAGGCACTACATTTTTGTATGCCATCAACAGTACTGGATGTACGTTTTAGTAGAGGAAAAGACACTATTAAAATTTCATTCCATAGATAAAAAAAAATTAAATTACAGATCTTGAGGCTATTAGTCTTCCACCCAATCATTAAATTTCAAGGAAACATTCAGGGATGTTGTCATTAAATCCAGAACAAATTAATTACTTTTTTTTTTCCATCTGAACACCTTCATGGATATATCACTGCCACAGCAAGCTCCTTTTCACTTCTGCAGATGGCTACATATGCTAAAATAGGCCATTCCTCAAAGTCAAACTGAAAAGCACAGCCTTCAATTGCAATATACTTAATGCCACACAACATGATTGTATGGAAAATAAGTCTTGTCAAACCAACCTCATTTCATTCTGCTAAGATTACAAGTTAGATAGATAAACATAATGCTAGAAATGTAATACATATTTGGAAAGGCCTTGTAACGCTTGGGTTAGCAGCACATAACTTTTATATTTAAATTTTAGTATTACACAATACCAATAAAAACGCTAAATGGATTGAGAGCTAGATTTTTTGACACATAAAAATGTGTTATTTTCATTAAGTGAAGATGGTTTCTGATGGATTTCTACAGGGGTTGGTAGCAGAACTATCAGTATTCAACATTTTTGTCAGTGGCTTGGAAATAAATATAAAATTACAGATTAGAAAATTTACCAATGACATATTTGGGGAGGAATGTTAGTGAATTTGATAAGGCACATTCAGTGAATAACGATGTGGGCAGAGCAGGAGTACAGAATCATACAGATAGCTCGGTAACTTGGTTAGCCCTCCGAGAAGTATTTCAGTACCTGAGTAGATGAAAAATGAGAAGAAAGCAGGACCTGTACAGAACAGGATGACAGGGTGGTCACAAACAGATGACTGGCCATGTAGTGTGGTACTGGAAAGGATAGATGCTGCAATTTTTTCGGTTATAAAAAGGAGAATAGTGCAGATATATTAAAAATTAGTTTGTAGCTCTATGTACAACACACTGAAATACTGCCACTGGTTCCAGAGTGTACTACCTAAAAAAGATGAAGAAAAAATTGAGAGAGTGCAGAGAAGAGTTAAGAAAATTATTTGAGGGCTGCAGGAAATGCTTTCTAGCAGAGGACTCTTAAAAGGCTCAATCTGTTTAGCCTGTCTGAAAGAAGAGTGACTTGATTAGTCTACAGATATTTTTGTTGGGAGAGAATAGCAGATATCAAAGGGTTCTTAGGGAAAGGTATAACAAGAGGTGGTGCCTAGAAGTTGAGGCCAGACAAACTGAAAATGGGAAAGAAGAAACAATGTTTTCAAAATGTGACTAACCATGGAAATGACAATATGTGTAACTGAGTATCTTCCAGTCAAGACCAGATGCCTTTCTGAGAAACATGGTTTAGCCAAACGAACTTGCTCATTCCAGTACAAGGGTAATTAAAGTAAATGTGATATTAAAGTCATATCTGATGGCTCAATTGCTCCATTCTGAACTTATTAATCCATGAAACTCCAACCTTAGTAAGGCTTAGAGAGCTCCCCAATGAAAAATGTTTGGGCTGTCACTGCTTTTAGCTCTTTGTGTTCAGATTTTTCACCAGAGTGGAGTTGCCTTTGGCTGATAAACTGGTTTTCTTCACTGACAAGCTGTCAATTTACTTCCAAAAGACCCACTGCATCTACCATCTTTCTAGCTGCTTTTGTTGTTGTTTTTTGTTTTTCTTTGGTTTCTGACATCAGCTTCTGGTTCTTTCTCTTCTTCCTAATTTCTTTCCTTGGTACTGATTGTGATGATGGTGTTCACAAATAGCAGACTCCATTCCACAACCCTTGACTGTACAGGAGGGTTTGACCTGATATGGGTGGCTTGTAATACCAGTGCATTCAATTGTGGTACAGATTCTAAAATGTAGCCATACTCACTGCTGTCTCTACAAACCATGTATAAACAGCAACGTTTGAAAAAGCTGTGCTCATTTCCCCCCGCCTCTTTCCTTGTTTATACGTTGTTTTAAAAACAAGTTCCACATGCAGACCAGAAGCTGGTTGCAGAAAGCAAATTACAGCAGACTGAGGAAATTGGAAGCAACTGCCTTCTTGTTTATTTGCAACTGAATGCGTTCTACACGTGAATGCTGTTTTGAGGCTTCTCCCTCTAACAAGCAATGATGTAAATACAGCATTCTGTTCACACTCCCCCTTATCCTTCCCTTGCGCTCCCCATTCCCACAACCCAGATCTTCTTTTGGGTTTAGGTCTGACTGTGGTCCTTTCATAAGATCATAGGATAATTCAGATTTGTTTACCAACATTTCATCATCTTCAGTACCAAACTATGTGGGATCAGGTCCCTCCTCATTCAGCTCAGCTGGACATGACATCTGAGGACTGGTCATCAGGATTTAAAAAGAAATCTAAAAAGGTGTGTGTGGGAAGTGGGGGAAAGTAATCCAAACCTGAAACTTTCATGATTGCATGTTGTAGAAACAAATGCTGTTGGAAGTAGTACAGAGGAAGACACAAGAAGCCAAGAAGAGACAAATACTCAGTGCGATGAAAGCTGAAAACACAGAGAAGATGCTTGAAGAGATGGAAGAAAAAGGGCAGAGAGTGAAATGTTTAACCAAGGAAGCTGAAAAATTTTCTAAATTATGCCATCTTCATCAAAAAGGGATCAAAAAAGAAACGCTGCAGGTAAACTCACAATGCAGACTTCAAAAATAGAAACAGTAGCATTTCTGGGAAGATGTCTCAGGTTTTAACACTGTCTGACCACATCTGAGTGTATCCTTTCAAGTGTCTGAGCTTCACAGTAGCCCTCCAAGTGCTCTGAACGAGGGTCTTGCAGCATGAGCCTTGGCACTGTGCTGGGCCCTGCCTGCTCGGGGCTTAGGGTCGTGTTCCACCTGTTGGTGGCATCTTGTGTTTCTGACGCTTCTCAGTGCCCTCCTGTTGAGCCTGATTCAGAATCTTTGCTCTAGAAAGTATTATTCTCCTTATATGAGAGGTAAACTGCCTGAGAGTTCGTGTAAGGCGGTGTTGCACCGGGAATGGGTGTGCAGCGCTTGACAGAACATGCTTGCACCCCTGGGGGGATCAGGGGCGCAGCAGCTAGAGCAGCAAGCGGCTGGGCTCAGTGGCTCCGGAGGCTTCGGCCAGCCATGCATCCATGGGATGTCCCCCAGCGGTGTGCCCCAGGCCTCTGCTGTAACCGCTGTCCTTGACACCAGACTAAACAGGGAGCTTTGGAGCCTCACTCGGGCTCTGCCTCCCCGCTGGGGCCATGTTCTCAGGTCTGCAGTGCCTGTCGCTTTCCTGGCTCTCCCTGTGACATTGCCCAGGCAGGGCTTCGCACCAGTGCTGCAGAGCTGACAAACTGCTGTCCTTTTGCTTTATCTACTCTGCATTTGACATAAACCCTCTGCCCTTACCTCCATTTCACATACATTACACCACTGTTGCCCAAACGCTGGACTACCAAATGAACGTATTGGGAACTGCTTTAATCCAGTCTGGCCACAGAAATGGCATTAATTTTCACTGAACTGATGCCATTGTAATGAACTGATGTATCGAGTTTAAATCTGTTACTGCATTGCTAATCATTGATTTAGTGTAACTGAGTAACCAGATCCACTTTTAAGATTATCTCTCTGTAAAAGGGGCTGTAGGGCTTTAACTACTGCAATTTAAAAACTGATTTGGCCAAGTAAATACATTCTCTGTGTTTAGCACAGCTGGTAGAGCGGGCTCTCGGCTGTGAAATGTGCAGTGCTTCTTTTGTAGCGTAGCCTGCAGAACAAAATATTGTTTGGCAACCACTTGATGAGACTTCAACTAGATGAATCCATCTACTAACTGACAACTTTGCTGCCACTGAAGTCTCCTTGCCCTTGCTTTCTTGGTCTAGAGAGAAAAAAGCTTTGTAAATGTATCTGAATGCCTCTCCTGTAAACCAGGCAAAGTATATTCTGTGTTAATCTTCTAAAGCATCAAGGTGAAAGCATGGGCTGTTTGTTTTCCAGAGTCAGGATGACAAATGCCATTCTGCTGGGAATAATTTCTCAGGCTGCTGGCATGTTTTCTAACCAAAATCATATGAGAGACTTTTACACAGCCAAAGCAGTTGGTGCAGACACATGAGACCACTGATTTCATTGGTATCTGTCTTTGATGGGGCTCTGAACTGTTTTGCTGTGTTTACAAAACAACCCTTCAAGAAATCAGAGATGTCAACATCTGGATCAGCCTTTAAGGAGAGCAGGAAGGAAAATGGCAACTGCAGTGCAGAGGCTTTTATTGCCACACAACAGTCCCAGCTGCAGCTAGCACCTACGTGGTCATTAACACTAACAATCTCTATATTTAAACTTAGTTAGCAAATTACAGAGTCTGTGGGAGAGATGAGGGAAGAGCTGCTGTTTTTTCCACATAACTCTGCCCTGAAAATGGAGGTAGGATCGCGTCTAATTAGAGCTACAGGCAGAGAACAGTGAGAAAAGGCCTCTGTATTGTTTTTATCTTCCTCCAGCAATGCTTGAAATGCAGATTCCTATTAAACAATAACAAGAATGTCAATTTGCACTATTTGTGCTGTATTTTGCATTCAGAGGTATTATTTATAGCAAAGCTGTAATTATGGATTATTTCAACCAGCAAGAAGTGATGGTCTCTCACTCACAAGAGTGCACAGGGCAACACCATCTTTTCCTTTAAATCTAGGCCACTGCTTTGAGGCGGAGCTGTCAGATGATGAATTTTTGTTGCTGCCATTTTTTACCACCTTTTAGATAAGAAGCCAGTTAACCCAAGAGTGCAGTTTAAAACAGGAGGCCTTCCAGCAAGTTGATGAACTGCAGTGTCAAGTTTATGACCTGGAAGCTGCAGTTTCCCAGAGGAATGCGACTGCAGGTAAAGACAGGTTGTGTGTTGTAACCTGCTTTCTTGGGGAAATAAATCTTATGAGCTATGTGTCCATGTCTCTGAATCCCTCCTTAACCTTTGAAGCAATAGGCAACTTAAGCCAAATATGAGAGAAGACCTCCTCTGTAATGAAAGCATTTAGGTAGAGGAGAAAGACTTAAAACAGTCTTGAGGAGAAGTCAGACAACTCAAAAGCCATATGCCTTCTTACACTGCAGCTGCTCAAGCAGCACAAGAAACACTGACTGCCAAGTTAATAACTTTAAAGCATAACTTGCGTTGTCTTTTGCTTTGTAGGGATATCATGGAAAACATGAGGGAGCTGCATTTAGGGGAGGAGACAATTAGGAAACAAAGGATCCCAAGTGGTAGGAAATCAGGCTTCATCAGTGGCTCTGGTCTTGGAACAGCTTGCTTACTTACAAATCATGTGGGGCAGCCAAACAAGACTCTACCCTTGTAATTCGATTAGATACATGCCTATGATTACAGGTATTTTTAGAAGATCTCAAAACACCAGTGAGAGCTTTCTAGCCCTTAACTGAATTAACTCGGAACTTAAATCTTTAACAAAAATCTTTCTTCTCAGCTGTTTGTTGGGTAACTTTTTAATGTAATGCTTACGTAATTCATGTAGCTTAAAAAGCTTGATTAGGGATTTCTACTCCTACCTGCCTGAAGTTGCTGTTTTTCTCTGTGGTATGAAAATCCTACTGTCAGTCTGACAAATGCATGCAGAAAAATTGATGGGTGATACCTAAATTCCTAGTAAATTAAGTAAACAGGAAAAAACTCCAATGATCTTTCAAGGTGCATTTCTATGATATGAAGAATATAAGTACTACAAATTTAGTAATTGTTTCCTTCTGCAGGAAAATGTTAGTTATTCCTGCCACAGGAAAGTGAGAAATGCTCATTAGTACACTGCTGAAGACAAGACATGAACCAAACACGGGGAAATAAAGAACAGGGAGGTAGCTTTAATTAATGCACAAATATACTAGGTTTCTCTGGCTTTAAACCAATCAAATTCAGGGGAAAAGTTGGTGCAAAACTTACAAGTCACATTGATGCTACTGAGCACAAGGAAAGGAGCTGCAACAGAAAGGAGATGAACTTTTCTTTTTCCCCTGCTGTGAGTTACCATTATTAAACATGATGCAGAGCGGGAAAAATTGGCTGAGGAGCTTGGATTTCTCTATGCTCACCATAGGAGCTCCATTATAGACGCCTAGTCCAAAATGCATGAAAACTCTGCAATGCATTGTAGCTACGTTTTTACTTGTGATTTTTTTATTCCTATGTCTTTAATAGTAGATTGATGTTGTGAGGTTTGGTGGTATTTTTTTTTTCCTTTCAAAAAATTATAAGGAAGACTGCAGAGCTGCTGTCCCATAGTACAAGCAGTATAAGAAGTCATTTTCCAGGTAATAAGTCAATATTAAATAGCTATCATTTTTGATGCATTAATACTAGTACTTCTCATAAGGGAATCCAGACATCATGTAAAGACTTTTCTATTAATCTGAGTTGCACTGTGCCACTAACCTGACTTCAGACCTACAGCATTTGGCCAGACCTATTCATATAGGGGTGGCAACTGTTACTTGCAATAGCCCTGTTTTGACTGTAAAGGTGAAGGTGTTTTTGAAACAGGTCATGTCAACTCCAGGAATTGCCCACATAGACTAAGACTTCGGTCAGTTCGTAGCAATAATCTGTAGATCAGCAGTCTGAGCCATGTCCTCTAGCTTTTTCTCCATTCCTTCTCCTCCATCTTCACATCTTCCTGTTCCCTCTCAAATGCACTGAGCCATGGCTTGTCTCAGTAGTGTAAAACAGGTGCTGCACTTCTTTCTGGGTTCATGTGATACTTGTGTAGTCAGTCCTCTCAAGCCCCTGCTTCAGGATGCATGGATGCTGAACGCAGTCTGACCAGACTGGGTAGTTGTGCACTCTGGGCAGCTGCCAGTGCTCTCCTGCTGCTTCAGCAGAAGGCCGGAGTGCCTTGGACGTACACTCCAGAATAATGCCAGAAACAGCTAACCAATGTAGTCTGAAACATCTTGGATCATATCCGAGAAGGAGGAGGAGCACTGTCTCAATTAACAAGTGCAGGATTACAGCTACACAGCAAAAATACCGTGACCTTTTTACCTAAAGTTAGTGGGAAAGGTTAACATAGGGTTAAGAAGTGGTATAGCAACACCACATTGTACACAGATACAAATCAGGGTTAAATCACATTATGGCTGATAGCAAGCATAGCATTTGATTCAGTGGGCATTTTTTTAGTGGCTGAAGGGTTGGCATTAAGTGGCTGCATCTCTGCTTTTCAGAAATCTACAAAAGACTGGAATTCACTAGGGAATTTAGTGTCACTGGGAACAGATCATTAACGTGCACCCACCCACCCCTTTTAATCTTGGCTTTCAACAGGACCAGGAAAGACAAGAGTTGTGGGGAAAATAGTCACATACAATGAAGTACACTTGGGGCAGCAAGAATTTTCTGCTTCAATGAGATGTCTCCAGCTGGAGGAATGAATGCTGATACACTCATTACTATGAATGAGAAGGGCATGGGGTGAGCTGCAAAAATTGCACATAATTGCAAATAGTTTTTGTAAATAGTTGCAACTATCTGCAAATACTTTTTGTTCTACTTTGTGTCGAGATCATACATGAACCACTGTTTACAGACTAAGCAATCTATTATTCTATTAGTACTCTGCTGAGTGTTCATAACTTGTTTTGGGTGGGTTTTTTTAACATTCCGTAACAGCTCTTGCGTTTACTCGAGTTCTATTTTAACTCTGTTGGTAACACTCCAGGTTCTGCAGCTCAGGTCCAGAGTAACAAGCTTTCAGCATCCACTCAGCACGGAGGTTACCAGCAGCATCCTTTGAATCTTGACCCAAGAAGCAGCAATGGAACAGGAGGAAACACTCAATGACCAAAGACAGTAAGTAATGGTGGCATTGGTAATAAGCTGATATGGTTGCAAAATGAGCAACTTCTTTGCTAGTTTGCAAGCTGTGATTTTTATATATATACCCAGGCAGGTTTCATCTGGACAGTAAGTCAAATCTCTTTGAAGATTTATCTTTAAGAGGAAGGTGACCAGTATGTATGGCTAGCAAACAGAAAAAAAAAGTTCCAAATGTTCCAAAAATTGACTAAGGAAAGGGGGCAGGAGGGAGGTATTTCGTTAGCAATGGTCCAGGAAAGATTTTTTTTTTTTTTTTAAAATGCCATGCCACGGTTGGTGACTCTTTTTGTATGTTACTTATGCTTTCAGGTGCCTAGCAGATGGAAAAAGAGAATGGCAGATAGGTCTCTTCCTACTGTCGTCATGCAGCTACAGAAACAAAGGCTGGTCCAGAAGTAAACCTAAATGTATTTTTAGAAAATGCCACTGAACTGGCAACCTGGAAGTAAGAGAAGACAATTTATACACAAATCAAAGAGAGGCAGTAATATTCCAGTGCTGTGCATATGTACTTCAACATATTTGGATGCAGTGTTCAATATCAGCTCCAGTCAGTTAATCTACTGATCCATTTTAGGTACTGGATGATGCAGATCCTCCTTCTGAGCAAGAGCAGCACTGCATGTCCTCCCTTCACAGACAATGCAGCACAGCACAGAAAGGCAAGGATATCAGTCAAAATCAAAAGGCTTCCTTTTTTTGTGGTAACCTTGGAACACAGTAGTACAAAGCATAGCTAAGTGCTTAGAGCAAAAGCACTGGGTCTGGTGTTCAGTTTTTTGTTGTTGTTTTTAAAACTATTTTCCTATTGCAAGCCCTGACCACCACATCCTGCCCAATGCAGTGCTCTCACCCCCAAAGGTTGCTGCCTGTACACTGAACCTTTCATGCCTGTTTAAAGATGACTCATCGGAAGTGTCAGTGTCTCGACCTTCCCTAGCACCTTCTCTCCCCTCCCCCTACAAAAGGGAAGAAGGGCAGCTCCTTGCACAATGCTACACTAACTAGAAGAAAACAGAAAAAAAAAGCTTAAGTTTATCTGCATTTCTCTTGCATGGAGAAAAAAAGCTTGCTTTTATAGTCTAGCCAATAAAGGACTCAAAGTTATCTTTCAGAGATGCATCAAATTGTATTGCAGGTTTCGATGAGTTTGAATACTAACCTATGTGCCTTTTAGCATTATCCATGTCCCTAGATGCTTGTGAACATGAATAATCTAATACCTCAGTACTCTTTTTATAAATAACTAAGACCTAGAATTAAATTCAGGCAACCCTTAACAGTATTGCATTGCTTAAACACTGAGTAAAGGAACTCTAACTTCTGTTAGAAACGCTGCAGTACTTAGAGATAGAGTATTGCTAGAATAAGGCTGACATCCTTCGCTGTTACTGAAACAATTTTTACTTCATTCAAGCTTGCTACTATATCAAAACAAGTCACAATATACTCAGAATGCTGAGTTCTTTTTAAGGTATGCCTTAAATCAATGACAAGGCAACTGATAACTATCCAAGGTCAGCTGTCACTAGAGAAGCCATCAAATGTGATTCTAGCACATTCTAGGAACCAGACGCCAACTTGGAAGTAGAATACCATCAGTATGAAGCACTTGTGTACCATTGCAGCAGTACAAAGGAAAGGGCTGTCTCAGGCTAGTTACAGCTTCCTGATAAAATACTTCAAGTATTACTCAGCTTCATACAGCAAAATTAAAAGATGATTTTTGAATGAATGCTATACCTACAGAAGACTACCTTCAAAGAACAGCAGTAACACAAGACTGGTACTATAAGGATAAACAATTGTATGCATAGGCTTTCAGTGCTGCATTGTAACAAAAACTTAATTCAGTCCTCGACTGCATGCAGTAAATGGATGATTTTCTGGAAGGCAATTTTAAGTGCATCAGGAAGCTCTAGGTTTCCTCCATTTCCATACAGCCTTTCCAGAAACACTACTAAAGGTTTTGTAATTTCCCATATGAGACTGACTGATGTCAACACTACCTAGTGACATATTCACACTTCATTCACTACCCACAAAAGCATCAGGGTCATGATATGAAACTACTGAGGTTACATCACTCAGAGCTGGTTATCATTTTAGTCAGTCTGCAACTACAGAATTGCACACCCTCTGTTCTCTTGTTCAAGCATACTGACAGTTATTCCCCAGCAAATATCCTCCTCTTCCTCATGCAATCAGGAAAGAAACAAGGCTCAGAGCAATACCTTTTTCATGAAGGTCAAAGATCTTAATGTGAAAAGATGCTACAATGTAGGGGTTATTAACAGCCTCTCTGGAAACACAGCCTGCAGTCCCTCTTCCACCTTATAGGCTAGTATACTATTATCTAGTATTATAAGCTTGGCAATTGGAAGGAGGAGCATTAAGCCTTACAGGTTGTTGCAAGTGGAACACTTAATAAATGCCTTGCTGTTCTTTAGCTTTAAGGGGAGAACAGGGCTAAACTAACATGGAAAACATAACCCAAATGAGAATTCTTTTGGAGACAATTCTAAATCTGAATCAGTATTGTTGCACATACCAAATGCAAAGTTAATACTGCATTTAGGAGAGCTAACTTAACTCTTCAAAACTTTCATTCTCCCTCTTTATTTCTCAATTCCTATGGAAAACAGCTCTTATCTCCAGAAAGTCGGCAGACAGTCCCCTCTGGGATTGCTCACATTAAAGAAAGTTTACAAGTAAAATTCCATTCAACAGATTTTATTTATCAATTTGGTTTTGCGATTACAACTGTTTCAGTTTTCTTCCACTGAAGACAAAATACAAACTTTTACAGCAACACTTGCAGAGAACATTCATAAGGTAACAGCTTGATATTTGCACAAGCTGGCTTCAAGAAAAAGCCAGATAACTTGAAGAGTCACTACAGTTCAGTGCCTAAAATTGATTTAGGGGCAAATACAACTACAGATCTATGAGCTACCTTCCACTTCAAAACACAAGGCCAAGAAAAACTGCAAGTTGTTACTTCAGGTTTTTTGCTAATACACAGCACAGATCAGCTGACACTGCCATTTCACAAAGGAGTAATTACTTTCTATAGTGAGGCAGCCAAGCACATGGTGAAGATGTATAACGCAGCCTCCCCTCCCCCCAAACAACTGAAAGGGAAACAATCCGATCCATAGCTCCCTAAACTGTGGATTATACCTTGTTGGCAAGGCTAATGAGCAAGCAGTGCCTAGTGCAGGCCTTCCAGAACATGTCGAAATTGATACAGTACAGGCTTGAGTTTTTCAGATTGGCATCTGTACATGTCAGAGATCCTGGGTTTCCTAAAGTCTTGGAAAGTAGCAATTGCTGGCACCAAGAAAAATTTAGTAACTAAGGCAAGGTATCCCTTCCACCCTTTTAAACAAAATTTGAGGCAAAAGATTAAGCAAATTTAAGGCACTTTAAAAATTATTTTTAGTTTGCTTTACCAGCATAATTTATCAGCAACCTAAATCAGGATCAGCATAGCTCATGAATAAGCATTTTAGCAACATTTTACAGAGCAACAACTTCTTTGTGGCAATGTCTTCCACGCTATAAAGCGTTCTGTAGCACTTTTCTGCAAGTTTCCCAAAAGATAGCCCTTTGAGGCCAAAAAAATTATATACTAGGCATACAGTTTGCTTTGCTGAGCTGAAGGAGAACTCTGTCACACTTCAGAAGAGTGTTTTGCTCACTTCAAAGCACAGAATACAAGCTCATGGGTATCTTTCTAAAGAAATAAATGTAATAAAATAGTTCTGAGATAGGGAAAGGACAGATTAAGTGATTTCACAATAAGGCCAAGGATATACCATCTAACCCACACATATACTGTTGCTGGAAACTGGCTGCTCACACTGCTGTTTTAATAAACCTGAGCTGATTGTCTTAGTTTTGTTTAGAAAACCAAAAGCTAATGAACTCAAAGATACAGTACTGGTGAGTAACTTCTGTATTTTGTGGCAATTTGAGTTTTCTATGCAGCACAATAGAAACAATGCCATTCAAACTAGAAGAACACAAGAAAGCAACACTGTGCACTTTAAGGTTCTAACTGAAGTGCACTTAATTTAGTTCATACTTAAGTTCCACTGCCATGACCATTATCTGCATTAATGGTATCATTTTGTACTGGGTGCCAAATTCCAGTCAAGTTGGAGCTAGTAAGACAGTACTATAGATTATCCTGAAATTGATGATCAAGGGGTATCATCAAAAGCTATGTATTATGTGCTACATCAACCACTTGATTTTATCTTTACTTCCATTTTTCCTGTGGGTTTATTTTCACAGGTGCTCAAGTCAACTTACATTGGAGATGACGTACCTTTGATGCTCAGATCACGTGGCTGATGCAGCCAAGGAAAAAAAAAAACCACACAAACTATTTGGCCGAATAGATTTCCTTAACCAGTTCACTGCAGGGTGACACAAACCTGATGCCAGGAAGGGGGGAAGGGAAAGAAAAAAGATGTAGCCCTAGCAGCCCCAGGACTACAGCAATCCTGACTAGGATCAAGTCAGCAGATCCTCTGAACTACCCTTAATTGCTCCTTCAGCAGACATACAGGAGAGTAAAAAAAAAAACAAAACCCCTGAAATTGATTGCAATGAGTTTAAGAACCACTTGAGTAAGAAAACCTCAGGATTTCCCAAACACCAGTATTTCAAGTATAAAAGTAAGTTGTTGCCTTTTTATACAGGGAGTGAACTGAATTTTATCACTAGTTTTATGGTTGGTCTTTGTAGGCCAGAACAAAAGGTAAACAACTTAAAGCTTCTGTTTGTAGCTGAACATTACTGTACCATGCTCCCTCACCCTCAAACAAGGTCAATAAGGGACAGTTATTTAGTGTAAAAAGTTTTTAAACTGGAATGCTCAAGTCACATGTATTCCATTCTCCTATATAAAGCTAGTACTTAATAGTTTTATTTATCTTTGAGATAGGTGGGACGCTTTTGCAGCCTACTGATTTTTAGTCTTTTAAGGCACTAATCTTCATTTCCCTTTTAAAAGGATTATCCCTATATGCCCTCTCCACCCTCAACATTAATTGGAAAGGGCATAGGATTTCTGTTTGGAATGAAGTATTTTATCAGGCAACCTTTATTCTTGTGTAAAAAAATGTATGGGTTATTCTGTTAAGACATTATCTACTTCTACAATTTTGTTCATCTTTCTAGCAGCATGCTATAAGAGCCACAAGCTAGTATAAATGGTATTTCACTCCCTGATGTCAGTCACCAATAATTCACATCTTGATAAAACTGAAGGGATACTGTATCAAATGTTGATTAAATTAGCCTTCACAATAAGTCATCATGAGATTGTCTACTCAAGACAGTGTTGCCACTGAATAAGAATCTCTCAACATCTACATTTGGCATATCAAAAAAAAAGTCCCACAGCAGCAGCCACTAAAGGAAAATAAGACAGCCATTAGAACCCATGCAGCATATTGCAAGTAATCCTGTTGAAGAGATTCATATCACCTCTTGCCAAGTATAATGTTGCAAAAATATTCTTTTAAAGTCTTCTTTTAGAGATTTAAAGGATATTATGAACGGCTGTCTTCCATGAGCAACAGAAAATATTTTGGTTCAGTGAACTACAGGTTTTGGGCTACTAGTCCATCATAAAGTGGCAGGTCCTAAAGTGTGTGATAGTTTCGGTCTTTTGACTTGCAGAATTTGTACAGAAAGAAAACAACAGCCTGCAGACCCAGAACAAGGACAATTCCACCTATGAAACTCGCAGCATCAAATGTAGATTTGCGTGGAGAAGGTGCAGGAGTCACAGTAGCATTTGTACCTGTGAAACACCACATTAGAATTTGTCAATGCACAATGCTCACAATAGTTTCACAGATGTCAGTATTGGCTTCCTTGTATTAAGATTACTCAAAACATCCAAACACCAATAAGAAAACAAAAAACAATCAGAAGTGAAGACATGCCAGCAGCTGCATTTAGATTAGTGATACTGAAATTCTGATTAAATACTGTTTGTACAAGGCTAGAGTATTTATAGCCAAACTGCTTTGGACCTCAATACTGAGCAAGTCCCAGCTGGACTTTATTTGTACTTCAAAAAGCCAAAGCTTTCCTCCTTTACATAGAAGTATATTATTGATATGCTCACATTCAAAACATTTTCCAATCTCAGCTGCTTGCTCCAGTTTTTTTTGCTTAAATTAAAATTAAATTATTATCTTCCATCTACTGTACTTCACCCCAAGAGCTATGCTTAAAGAAACCAGCCGAAGCCGCAACACATACGAATCTGGAAGTAACAGCCATCTGCTGATGGCTAGTTTTAAAGAGTTTTACTTCATGAGAGCTTTTCATGAAATAGCATATTCAGGACTGATGCCGAAATGAAATACTTCAGCTTACTCCCATCACTGTAGCCCAATCTTTTTTCTTTTTTAATAGGTATCCCTTATGCTGCAAGTGAAAAACAAAATACCATCTCCCAAAGGTAAGCAAGTTAACAAGTGACTTCCAGCCACACTATTAAAAGCAGCCAACTGATTTTGTTTGACCAACATGTTTCTGACTTCTAGTATCTCACCAACTAGCTCTGTTTCTCAGAGTATTACCTTGCTACATACATACATCACCTTAACAAAATTAGACATGCCATAAAGTTAGAAGTGACAACAGCAGATACACTGATACTACTTCAATGTTGTCACTTAGTCAGTCTTTCAAGATAACGCTTTTAAAGCAACACTAATTTCTAAGTATTTTATGCTTTAATTATGCTAGTAGTAGCAGTTACCTGGAATACTGGTTGTTGTGGTAGTTGAAGTAATGGCAGTTGTAGGTAGAGGAGCACGTGTAGTTACATTGGTGATGTTAGCTGTTTGAGAGAAGACAGTATGTACATACCATAAGCTTCAAGAGTGAAGTTTGCAAGCACTGAAGTTCTCATGTAAGTGATTTGTCTTGTTTTGCTTAAACAAGGATAAGCTTTGACCTCAGACTGTACCCCATACAGTTTAGATGTTCAGCTGCATGGCATTAAGCCAAGTTTCTGCAATAAGGATTTTAAACTTGCATACCATTGTTATCCAAATATTTCAAGGTTCTCCACGCATCTGACAGCAATTCTTCATTCAGACAAAACCACTTTTCTTCCAAGCACTAATATAAATGCTGGTATTTGAACAAAAATACAGCTGCTTCAAGACAACTGAGAATCTGCATCAAGGCAAAGGACTTCCATTAAACAGCCCTTAGAATCAGTTAGTATTTATTGTACTAAAGAAGTACCTAATGTAATATCTCTAGACAGGAGATAAACACTTACAGGATAGCAAAACTACTTCTTTCTCCTCATCCCCAAAACACTAACTGTGAATAACATCACTGGAATAAGCAAACAGTCACCTGCAGCTAGACTGTCTCCTAAAAGCTTTTCCATTATCAAGCCAGAACACTGGGTCTCTGACCAAACCCCCCCCCCTCCCCAGCTCCCAGATTAGTATCACTAAAAATCAATCAGTATTCCACTATGTGCCTGGGACAAGTGCCAACGTTTGTAGGTTTACTCAAAGCTACACATCACCCTACTGTACATTAGGCTGTTCTGAGCCTAATCAACTACAAACTCGTTACCTCCCAGCTCACTTAAGCAGCAGATCCTTTTAAAGATGAGATTTTTTGTTTGTTTGTTTTTAAGAACTTCACTGTTAAGATGGCAGCACATGTAAGAACAGAAATTTTTGAACTGGGCAACAAAAAAAATCAAACTCGTAAGAACTCATGATCAGTGGAAATGACTAATCTAATTCAAACAATTATCACTGAGCCAATTCTTAATTATATTGGAAAGAAGCATTTTCTCTGTTAACAGTTTTATAAAATCCACTTCTTCCAAACCTTGGGACCATTTATGTATTCCATACATCAGATGTTTAGTAGTCATGCTACTACAGTGATCTGTGGCAAAAGTCCTCGTCCTCTATTTTTTTCGCCAGTTCCTAGTTTACTGCCATTCTATGTTCAGCGTTACTGTATTACCTATAGTAGTATGAGCTGTGGTAGCAGTACTGGCTGTGGTAGTATTGGAAGACGCTGTGGTAGCATTGGAAGGTGATGTAGTAGTATTGGAAGACGGCGTAGTAGCACTGGAAAGAGGAACAACTGTAGGAGCTATGAAAGAATGAAGAGTTACGTTAAAGAGATTAATGACAGTATTAACTAAAAAAAACAAAACGGAACAGCAGCAGGCTGAATTTTAGGGAATTCATGTAGCACCAAGTTCTACTGTAGTTTTGGTTTGAAATTACAAAGCAGTTGAACATTCAATCCACCACACCAACAGCAAAAGTTGCACGAGTGAATACATGAAAACCCTTGTCACAGGCAGCCCAATCAAGCCAGTGTTCAACTGGCAACTCAAGATTCCTCAAAGCAAACAGGAAGGAGAAGAGTCCTACTGTACAAGCATAAACTGTGCATGCTGTGCGCAGCGGGAAGCTAGGTATTCAGTACTGCTTCCCAACCTCACTGCAACTAAAATTGAACCTGACCTATCAAGTTCAACTAGAAATCAGAGTGGTTACACTGGTTGAAGCAGTACAGGGGAAAAAACAAGATATCCTCAAGAATTTGAAAGTTTAGCTAAAGCCTTCTGTTCTGAGAGCTGTCGCTGGTTGTAGGTGCTCTCAGCTTCATGTGCTGGAAAAAAACCAAACCACCCAACTGTGAAGCCTTCTGCAACGTACTCCATCAACTGAGTTAATCACACATGGACAGCTTATCTAAACTGTTGCTTAATCATACACCGATACATCAGCAAGCTTCCTACTGAAACACCATTATATCCAGAAGCCTTTAACGCTCAGGGTCATTTAAATGTGGTTATTTACATCTTGAAACAATTCAGCATGGTGGGAAACCAGAGCCAACTGTTCCTTCAGAGACAGGCTGGATATATCAGAATCTACATTCTCTCAGGTCCCACCTGCATCAAGTCAGTTCAGGTCCACCTTAACATTTTTCCAGTCAATCCCCAAATGTAGTGCTGAGGCATGACACTGTAAGAGCAGGTAAGGTATACAGGTTCCTCTCACACCAATAAAGATCCTCTACTAAAGGGTGACAATTAAGTTTCCTTGAATATGCAGAAGCTAAGACACAACAATCTGATAATGTCACTACAAGTTTAACAGGAACAGATTGTAGAAATTCTGCTCTTAGATATAGAACAAGGCATTTGTAACAGTATGCTTTCTTTGGAAAGCACTGAAAAATGGTACTTTTAATGCTCCTCATTAAGAGGCGATTGTTACAATTTTAGAAACGACACAGATGTCCAAGTCAAGTAGAACTATTTCTGACTGGCTGCCACCATCATAAGATAGCCCACAGCAGTGTGGAAGCTTCATCTCTGTTGGTGTGAGCCAGCCTCTTTAGCAGCACTGTTGAACTCATCAGACAACAGTATTAAGAATTTTCATTTGCTGTTCTAGATCTTAAAACCAGAAAATCCTATGTTAAAGTCCATTTCCTATCAGCTTTCAGAAAAACTAAAATTGGGGGGCTTTCACAAAAGTGAAATTCAAGATTTAATCTAAATTATTCATATCCTGCAAGTCTGCTTTGCGCAGCAAGCACAAATTAATGAAAAGACTTCAGCAGATATGCAAATGAGCACACTCCTAGCATGAAGGATTTACCTTATGCAGTTCTATAACCCAGACCCTACACTTCAGGACCGCATGAAGAGCTGTGCTAGTTAACAACTAAAACTGGAAGGTTCCTAAGTTTTTCCTATTTACCGCATCTCAGATGAAGCAATGGACTTAGAAGGTGAAACTTTTTCGTTGAATATGAAGCTTACTGTCTTGAGGATGCTGACAAGTTCCTTAGGACACGCTATATCTAATAGGAAACATCACCCATTTTAATGTAAGAAACCAAGGCAGTAGCCAGAGACACGTGTCTAGGAAAATATGTCAGGCTTCTTGAAACAGCAACAGTAAGCAGTTTGCTAATGGCCCAACAAAATTGTGTATTTTAGTACCACATATCATAGGTTTAAGCTGGAAGCAAAGGGCTTATTTACATACTTGTACATGCTTATGTAAATTGTGGAAGGCATATTAACAAAGGTCAACAGATGAAGGAGTTGTAAACGCAACTGCTTCACATTAAACAATGTGAAAGCTGAATATCTAAATACTCACAAGAACACTGTTCTTCAACTGTACAGTTGTGATATTTCAAATGTACTTCTGTTTCATTTACACACATGTCTCCTGTCAGAAAAGAAGAGACAAGAATATTTACAGCAGCAGAACTTTAAAGTGTTTGAGACATTGTTCCCAAATACTAACAAACTGTTCATAGGACATATGAACATAATATGTTCACCATATTCTATCCAGGATAACATTAAAGCCGCTTCAATAGGCAGGACTTCAGTGTTAAATTAGTAATTAGAAATTACAAAAGTTTTAGTATTTTCTTTCACTACAGTTACTCTACCACTCAAATCAACACTTAACAATACTTATACATGGTTATGCATCATTTTGCAGTAACAGTATAGCTTGATACTTCTTCTTCATAGGCTACAAAATTAAACAGTGTTTCTAATATTTGTGGCATTTTTCAAGTTAAACATTTTGCATCTCTATGGTAGCATCACAAAAAAAAAAATCTTACTATCTTAAAAAATTCTACATGCAAGCAAAACTTAGTTCCAGCTTTTCAAACAGATCCTTGACCTTGAAATTGTTGAAGACATCAGTTTCTTATTCTCTGCCTGCACACCTTTCTCCTTTGACTCAGATTTCAACCTCTCCCTCAGAGAAGTTACACAGATCTCTTGGATGTTTGCACTATGCGCCTGTTGGTCAGGCAACACATGCAGAGTTCAGAAAAAGAGCTTCTTGAGGGACACTCTTCTACTGGACAAGTTACATCCAAAGTTCTTTTCATTGGTTCCGAAGCATCTTCGCCTTCATATACAACCTTTCTTGGTCATCTACGATCAAGTGCTACAAAATCACTATTACAGTCAAGCCATTCTCTCCTCTTATTCCGTTTCCACCTCACATAACAAGTACAAATAATCCACCTGAGGACTACTTATGTAGTCTTTCTATGACTTTGTCAACAGCAACGTCATCTCCTCCAGGACTGAGTACCAAAGGTCACCTAAATGTGGTTACATCCAGCTCTCCTACAATGGGAAAAAACAAGGCTCTGAATGAGACCACCTAATGCTTCTTTGGCTCTGTCATGTTCCCTTCAGTGGGTTGCAATTCTTCGTTTTAGGAACACTACTTCTAACTAATCTTATTTAATATGGACTCCTCTCCCGTACTGCACTTCAGTTCAGCAGTAGTGGTTGTGACCAGGTCTATGACAAAATCTCACACGGGACTGAAGCACAGGGATGTGCCTGCATGTCAGAATCCACTCATGACTCCTTAACAGCAAACACAAGTGACTAGTTTGTTCTAAAAAACGTTCTGAACTATCTGGAAAACATTAGCTTATCAACAGCACAGATTTAAATCAGAAGCCTTAAAAATCTGGGATTATTTTGAACATGTTCAGCTCTCTCCACATAAGAGCTTGAAATGTTTAACAACAGATACAACTTATGAGTTAATGGTCCATTAGGTTATCAAACAGAACAGTATTTGTCTAATGAACATTAATATAGATGAAATAGGTCTAGCTGGGTTTCAGGTTCTGCATAGTACAGTAAGGATCTGTACTATGTAGTCCTCCTTACTTTCACATCTGATCCACTTGCAGCCTGCTACATTTGTGTCATTACCAATACACGAACTGCAGTTAGAAAAGTTTTCACAGATGCCTAAAAAAAAAAAAAACAACACATTGATTAGGGCAAGATTACCATTGTCAACAGAGCAACTTCACCCACACCTCTTAGATCCATACCTTCCCATATATACATCTCCCAAGTTAAGGCACATTCCTTCTCACTGAACTACAACTGAAAGCTACAACTTCGGAATGCATTTGACAAGACACAAATACACTTCCCTCTAGACACTACTGATTCTCTGAAACCAGACCCCACATGTACACCAAGGTTATGCCTCATGCAACCTCTAACTATAGTAAGCTCAGATAATAGAGGATATACTACTCTCGTGAAGTTACCGAAGTCCACCAAATTAATTTTGCAGAAGTTCATTGAAACCTCAGATGGTAAGAGCTTTTCCTTTTGATTACATTTTCCCTTTAGGTAATACAGCCAACTATAAGCAACCCTACAATAGAAAGCAACCAATGCATGGGAAATAAAGACAAGAACCTAGAGGACTTCATATGCAAATGCATATAAAGGAGAGCAGAAAAAGTCAATCTATTCATATTTTGATCACAGCAGAAGCCAGCAACCTAACCAGTCCCGGATTTTTATGTCAATCTCAGTCAAACATTGTTGCCTTAAAACCACAATGACAACACATCCGCTATCTGGATCAAATAAGATCTCCTCCCAGTCTACAATTTTACTGCATTAGTTTTAATTAAGACTTACTCATACAGCCATCACACTCAGAAAACCCACATACAACCCACAACTCCTTACACCGCATACATTTCACATCATATCCACCTACTCCATGCACCTTTGGATGACCTTTCACTTTTCTCAGTTCTGCTCCCCAGTGAAGGGAACGCTGCTATTCACAGATCTTTGGCAATCAGCATGGTAATTTACATCCCAAGATAACAACTACAAATGCATTAGCTAACTTCAGTACTCTCATAATTTGAATTAAGCCTGAATCCACCTTCCTCTTGGTTATGGTAGGATCAGGCTAGAAATATTGGCACTATTTCTTCACTTTCAAGAAATGTAAGAAGATATGAAAAGACCTTTGTCAGTTTGCATCAGTGAAATATGCAACAGACTTGCCCTGTTCCCTTCAGAAATAAGGCACTTAAACCTCTTCAAGAGCTATATAACAGTTTCTGGATAACGGATTTCAGAAAAAAAAAAAGTAATTTATTATTCTGGGTATACATCTTAAGAACGATCACAGCACACAAAACACTCACTTCTGACGGATGAACAACGTTCACTTTTTAAAATTCCTCACTGGTACACAGAAAATTTAGCACAGTACATCTGTGGAGACAGGAGGACAGTGCAGCCAACTAATACCAGGTGCACTAGGACTTTTAGTTTACTTTCAGAACAGCTTTCCCAGACTAGCATGGGGGAGGAACAGAACTGCAAGAGTAAAGATCAGGAGACGTTTTTATCACAGCAAAGGGTTTCAAGAATGAGCTGTTAACTTCAAAATCAGCGGCCGGGCGTCAGATGTTCTCGCAATGCTGATCCTGTTGTGAAAGGCTCTCTTAGGGTCTTTATATGGTGTAACAGCAAGCTCCCCAACTCTCCCCATCAGCAGATGCCTGCTCTTCACTTCGAAAACGACTCCGGTACCATGAACTCAGCTCTTAAGCATAGGCAAGCTCACGTTTGCTCCCAAGATAACCTGTCTGTTGTACTGGCACTTACACAGGGTAAATTCGGATATTCCCCTTACTTGAGGAGGAAGCCTGATAACACTAACAGAAATCTGTCCTGCTGGACCAACACTGCCCTCTCCTGCTGCACCGGAGAGGTTATTAACCTCTGACTCTTAGCGTCCTCAAGCAGTTCACGGTTCCGGCAGGGTGCCCGATACTGGCCTACATCACGTCGTCGGTGGTAGGGCTAAAGAGGAAATCTAGAAGGGCTGAAGCAGAGGTTACGGGACAGCTTCACACTGAGTTGCGCCCAGCGCCATTATGCAATGCGGCCAAAGAACATTAAAGTACTTCCAGAACAACCTCTTTCCTTAGCATTTTGGGGTATGCGGCACCTTTTGTGGTTCTTAGCCACGTAAACACTTCAGCAAATAGCTCACAGAGCCAGAAAGATTAGACAAACCCTCAGGACGAACAACGAGGCTAACATCAGGACAACCGGCAGCAGTGACAGAACAACATTGCTTACATAAGTAACTCCCGCAATTTGACCTGTACTAAGTTTGCAAGAAACAAACACGCCGCGTACGTTTTACTAGACGCAAAGCTAGCCTCTACTAGTCATCTGCTGCATACGAAGGGGGATACTGGAGATGGTGTCAAACCGTGCTAACGGATTTCACACCGCACGCACCCCAATACTCCACAGCGAGGGGAAAAACTAAAGCGAGAAGAGAGGAGCCAGAGAGAAGCGGCCAAAA